ATAGATTATATCAATACATACCAAAATATTAAAACTGATAAGTGATAGGTGAATAATTATATACAAAATAATTATAAATAAAAATACTTATACTTTCAACAGGTTATAAAGCTGTTATTTATATTGTATAACAGTAATAATCGGTGATAATGATACATTTATAATCATTTAAAAATTTTTATTGTTATACATTTTTTTCAAACTTTAGTTTTGTATTCTAAGCGAAGAGATAGTTTTATGAAAGTATTAACTTTATACCTGTATTTTCTATAAACACTTTTTTTTTTGGAAGTTTTGTTTAAAAAGTTAGACCAAGCATCTCTAATAAATAATAATAGGATGTAAAATAATTAGAGAAATTTTTCGAAAGGATATTTAAGCATGAATTAATTTCAATTGTAAGAATGTAAGATAATTACTAATTAGATAAATTTAAAAATAAAAACCATTAAAAACCTTTGAAGTTATTTCAGTGATTTACTTTTATATACCTACTATACATATAGATAGGTACCATTAATTTATCAACAATTAATATTATAACGTACTACATGAATGATTAATATTTATTTCTGATTTATACTTACAAATTGAAATGTTTAATTCATTCTCATCGGAGAACAACCAAACAAATCAAATAATTATTATTAAATAGAAATATTCTAAAGTAGGTACTTAAAGAACACTATTATAATGGATTATAATTGAATGATAGAATTATTGGAAATATTTATTTTTATCAATTTTATTTTTCGGCAAATAAATTTAGTTTAAGTATAAAACTATTCCATTAATTTCATTGACTCATGTCTTAAAGCCTACATAGCTTAAAAATATTTAATTATAAAAATGAGTACCAATTTTTGTAAAAAAAATTATATAATTGATGCACAATAATAATTTAGCATTTCGAAATCAAGTATTTTTTTTAACAAAAAGCGCTAATGACTATTTAGATATTAGAATTGTATATTTATTAATATTCTTATCAGTTTTTTGGATAAAAATAATGTAAACTATGTAAATACTAAATAGGAAATATTATATTTAAGAATAAAGTACCTTCTTATATAGTTATAGTACATTAGTACATAGTCTTACTTATATTTTGATATATTTATTCAGTTAGATACTTTTTAATTTAAGCTTTAAGCACGTGTTATTTAACAATGTAATACTAAATAAAAATATTATATTAAAGAAAATATAAAGATACTATTAAAATATTATTGAGGCGTAAAATGTAGTCATTGATGTCATAAATATTTATTATTTTTGTATGGGCGCATAACAATATCGTTCTACGCTCAACTAAATATTAAATATTGAGATCACGGTGCATTGCATTATTTTAATAAAATTAATAAAGGCAACACAATATAACAAATAACAATAGACCGTGAATATTGGCAAGAGGGGAATTAATAACTTCAAGCGTGATACTGTTTTATATGATATCATTTAGCTATGGTAACAAACAAGTGAATGGCTAGCGATATTTATAAATATATATAAATAATATTTTGAAACTATCATTGGAATACGTATATTTTTAATTTTATTTTAGTTAAATTTAAAATGTTTACTGGAACTTTCAGTTGTTAGGCTTATGAAATATTTTAAGTATTTAACACAACATATACACAATAATACTTATGACATGCATTAATAAGTTATAAATAGCTATAGGTATATTATGATTTATGACATTAATTATTAAAATGCTAAAAATTTTCAAAAATTATTGAGAATTAGTATTCTAGTTTAGTTAATTTTATTTAATAATATCCATTATTCCGTAAAAAACATATGAAGGGATACTATAATACACTTGATAGAAACAATATATGAAAAAGGATACGGCAGATGCTACTGGAGTCAACTAGGGGTGTAATGCTAATCGTATATCATAACACGCGGTTAAACGGAGGGCTACAGTGTTATTGAACAAATCAAAATATGTAGGGAGGCTTAGTGCGAATACCCTCATTTAGCAAAATATTTATTAAATTTGACATGCGTTTCGACACACGACTGATGCCGTAACAAATTAAATAATTTGCTAGCGCTTAATATATGATTTTATATATATACAGAGTTAAAAGAAGGATTTGTATATTATATAACTCATACATCATAAGTCATCATAATATCAACTACTGTTGTAATAAACGAAATTACTTTTTTTGCTAAAATATATCGATAAGTTTCATTGTTTACGTTGTCTAAAAATGTTTAACATATTTTATACCTCTAATAGGAGTACAGTCAATTGGTCGTATGAATTTGGTCGTGATAAAATTGGTTGTTTTCAAAATAATATGTATATTATATAAAAATAATATTTTTTTGTAATTTTTCCTGAAAGAATATTTAGTAATACGTGTAAAATTATAAGTTATAAAAAATAATATATGTGAAAAGTATTATAAGTTATGAGCTATCCCTGTTGATATATATTCATTAATTAAATGTTCTATTATTAAATGTTTTACATATTGTACGAGTATTTATCCTCTCAGCAGTGTCATTATATTTCTTCTGTTTTCAAGGGATTCTGCTCCGATACAATATTGCGCCATTTTCATATGATTTAGCCAGATAGTTTAAATTTGTACTCTCTGTTATTTAACTTATTATCGCAAAACGTATAATAATAATTATTATCCATTTGTACCTATATATAACATTCTTAAACCAATATTCATGTTTTGTAACAAAAATATACTTCGATCAATTTATCAAACGATCATTTTCAGCCAACCAATTTTACCACGACCAATTGTATATGACCAATTGCGTAAACTCCCTATAATGAATTATTGCTTATTACGTAGATTTTATTTTTATTTTTTAAATTATAAAAATATAAAGAAATCCTAAAACTCTAAAAAAAAATTATAACATTATGTTTCTAAGCATTTTTTTTTTAAATTTAAATATCAAGTTCAGCTACGAGTCTACATTTCTGCAAATCGAAATATTTATTGTATTTTTCACTCTTTAAAGATATAATAAATAATTAACAGTAAAGCATCATTATATCGAAGTTGTAAGTTTATTGGTTAATGTTTTATAAATAATATAAAAACATTTTCGTGACATAATTCAAAGTCCTATTATTTTTGAAAATACAATATAATTTTTTCTTAGTTTTATTTTTATCACGTTATAGTTTTTTTTTAAAACTTTTTTAAATGACAAATATCTTTAACTTCATATTTTTGAGAAATTTATTTTTTCTGAAATTGTAATACTTTATCTTTTTAATTTTTGAGTTGATACCATTTTATCATACAACAATGTGAATAAGTTAATAGTATTCTAAATTGGTATTTATAGGTAATACCTTAAAATTAATCTACATATTTTTTAAATTTCATTCTGTTTATTTATTTATTCATTAATGATATACGTAACATTTTTAAGGCAGTCATGAATAAAAATCAATCAATTTAATAATAATATTAAATTTGCTTAAAAATTTCCGTTTTTCCTTAATTTTTTTTTTTGTTTTTTTCCATTTATAAAAAAAAGTATCGAGAATTTTTAGTTTTGGCCTTTAATATAAACTAAATCCAATTTGCTATCCAAATCCGACCGCTAAGTTGAAAATAGAAACTTTTTTCTTCTACTTGTCGGCTATCATGCACACACACACACACACACACACACACACACAAATACACCTTTTGTAAAATCAATACCAATCGTTTCTCTGCTCAGAATATACAATTTTTGAATTTAAATATGCATACTTACCATTTATAATTTATACATCGTATAATACGGTAATTGTAAATTTGCTATAACTTTTTATAGTTGGTTTTGTAGATTTATTTCTTCCCAATTTGATTCTTGTTAAGTCATTGATGACTTAATGTCTAATTTTTGTTTATTATAGGCAATTAATTAAGTAATTTTTGCAATATAGTTTACTGCAGTTTGCAGTTTAGAGTTTTGAATGTTTTGATGCGGGTTTTAAACCTTATTTATAAGTACATTTATAAATATTGACCCGGGGACGATTAACTGCTTGATTTAATGTAGCTACTATACTTTTCTAATGGTTAACTAAAATAATAAGATAAATAAAATAAATTCACAAATTACAATTGCATTATATTTTTATTGTTATGCTAAGAACCACGTAGCACATAACTTTGTTGTTGGTGAATTAGTGGACATTCTTAAAAACACCATTAAATGCAGGTTTTTTATCAACAAATCTATATGTCGTCAAACTGAATATAAACTCCTTATTAACATATACATTTTTTGTGAACGATTTAGGTTCAAATTTTGACAAAAATAAATATTACCACGTAAAATAACAGTTTCAGTTTTGTTTTAATTCGAAAATTATTAGGCATAGAAACTTGAAATATATTACGGTTACTTAAGTTATCATTTTCTGTAGTCAATAAATTTTTAAATATATTTAAACTAAATTTAAGCTTTTTATAAATATTTTAAATTCATAAAATAATTTGATATATTTTAATCTAAAATGATTAGCTTATACAATTAACCTTAAACCAATTCTTTGAAAATAATGATATGTAAGTATGTATATTTTTATTACTTTTTTAATGTAAACTTTAAAAAAATAAATACATTTTTGATAACTCAAAATCTTTAATAAGTTGAATTTTTTTTCTCCATGTACTTCTAACAACAGTCAACTGTTAATATAAATATGTTAAAATATGTTTGTATTTAATTGTTATTCATTTATTTTGTATGACATATGTATTTAATTTAATATAAATATCTAAATAACAGATAATAAAGGTATACATTATAACAAAAATATCTTTTTTTTAAATTTTATATTTATTTATATTTTATGCAGTAGGTTAGTCGTAGGTATTTACTAAAATATACCAAAAACGTTATATGTATATATATAGTTTTTTTTGATTATTAACAACTTAAGTAAGGCATTTAGTTGGAATTTTTTATGATTTTGTACAGAATCATACAAAATAATATTTCAGTATAGCTAGAGGGTTGAAACGAACCAACATCTGCTTGCGTCACCATTGGCTGATTTGATGGACCAATATCAAGCTTTTACAAAAGGGGAAATACGCCCCCGATAAACTCGATGTACTTGCTCTCATATTCAAAAGTACTGCACAATGATGAGCAACGGATTCGCAACTACGGGCCATACACCCACTTGGGATTCAAGTTTGACAAATACAGTAAGTACACAATTTTTATCAAATATCTAGAATAATAATTAATACAGCTCTTAATATGAAAAAAAAAATATTTCTAAAACTTTTCCAGTTAAATTTTTTTATATTAAATTTTAATAAGAATCGTCACTAATTATGAGATATCATATATGCCGACTTTTATATCTTAACTTAAGGCAAGAACACTAAATTCAATTCTTCTCATATTATATTAACAATTTATTCTTCTTTTTTTTTTTTTTAATTTCAATAAGTTTTTAAGAGTTTTATTAAAATTATATGCTCTTAGTTATTTTATAAATGTATTTATGTAATAATATAGTAGTAATGATTAACTTGCTTATTAATTAAGTAGATAATTTTGTACTATAGCTGGTCTAGCTGAATTAATTATAAATGTATAATATTATAATTTATTATCATAATAATACCATATATATTTATATATATTACACATTAATAGGATAGTCAAAGTTATGATGAATGTTGGCCGGATGCTCACCTTTATCATCACCATCATCATTTACACCACCACCACATTCACCAACACTCGTCTACAGTATCTCAAATGTGGCCAAATCCGCATAACCATGCTCAGCAACAGAGTATAACTCAAAATGCTATACCCAGGTAATATATCATTATTTATTAATCTATATAATACATTTTTCGGCTATTGAATTATACTATTTTTTGTGTTAATTTTATGGAAAAATATAGTGTTTCTCTTCATGTATGTAATGCATATTATATGATTGATAAAATGATTCAAATTTAAAAATAAATCTAGGTGACTATAGTATATTGCGCTATGTTCTCATCTCAAATACGCCATACACGAAAAACTTTTAAAACAGTATTGAATATATATTGAAAATTGTTTTTAATTTATATAAATTATTAGGTAAACAAGAATGTATTTAAAAGGGTGGGAGTAAAGACGTATCATAATCTATTTCTGTGGTTGGCAATTTTTTAGATATTAAAAGGTCGTCAGCATTATTGGCTATTGTCCACTGTCGAGTGTTCATAACTTAAAATCATATTCCATCGTTTTTTTCAGTTTAGAGACATGATCATGTTTTATCATATAAAAATTGTATCTTTAAACACAAGATTATTTTTTATCCATATTTTATGAATTTTATTTAATTTTTGCTATCATGCTTAAAAGATTAGAGTGATAGTCATAATAACTTAAAAATATAAAATTATTTTATTTTCATGAACTATACATCATAATTTGGAATAAACAGATGTTTAAAAATCGAAATCATAAGCTAAAATAATACCATAATTGAACATAAGCAATGTATATATAGCTAGAACCAATTTTACTATACTTCATACCTACTTGGTTATTTTAAATTTATAGTAGCTTGTTTAATTCATTGTTTTAGACTTAAATATACACAAAATTTAATATGATAAAAATAGTAGTATAGGAAAATGATTATATAATAAAATAAAACTAAATTTCTATAGAAAACTAAAAAATAAAAAATAAAATAAAATATTCATTTTTAATTTTTATAAAGTTCATAAACTAAAGGATTATTTTAATGTCATCATTTTTAAGGAGGAGATAATAAGATCAAAACTTTAACATACGACGTCTAAATTATAAACATAAAATGTCTTATAAAAATACCTACCTATATTATATTAAATATTTATAATCTTATACAGTTGAGTCATTTAGTAAAATTATGTAAGTAGAGTGTGTATAAATTGTATGTAGATATTGGACCTTAGTTTACATGTTTCAAGATGTATCCAATAATTCCATTATTCCATTGATACCACTTTATCGTTTAAAGTTCTGAATCAAGTATTTTTACTTGAATAATTAAATTAGTAATAAATTATCACTAAAATTTGTTTTTTTTTAATATTTTGACTATATAACATATTCAATACTTGAAATTCATGAATAATTTTAAATTAAACAAATTAAAAAATAAAAACACACAAGTATATTAATATGAAATATGACTATAACACATAAATGAGATAAGAAGAAAACCACATAGATACGTTCTACAGAGATGATAGATATATACTTTTATAATCTATATTACCACTTTATTAAATGTTTAAAATTATTCGATATTTCTATACCTATTCTATATAATTATAATAAAACCTTAAAAAATTTAATTATGTAATACATAAGTAGAATTTAATGAATTAAAAATCTGTATGTTTATAGAAATTATTCATGTGTATATCATATTCATATAATTTCTTTAGACTGTACATTGTACATAATAAGCAAATTTATACATTAATATACTAGGCACTTATGGCATTATTACTGTATTTATATTTTAAACCTATGTACTACAATATTTACCTATATTATTACTAATTTCATTTGTAATTGACAAAATTTGTCAAAATCGTCAACATTTGTAAATTATTTTGAATTCATAGTTAAAAAATTATAAAATGTTCAATTTTTATAGGTATAAGGCTTGAAAATTGAATACAACGTTCTTCGCTTACCCTTTTATATTTTATTTAAAAACCAAAAAGTTTGAAAATATTGAAAGCATATATTTTTATAGACATTTGAAGTTCAAATTTTGACAAAATTAGACGTGTAAATGGAGAATAAAGATTTTAATAATTTTGTTATAATTTAAAAACAATTTGAAGCTATTATATGCATATAATTTATTATATATTTATACAATTTACTCTGTATTTATATTTACTCTATAAAATGATATTAACTCAAAAGTTAATAAAAATAATAATAACTTGTATAAATATATACTATTATAAATAATAATATGTATTATAATAAATGCAAGATTCTCTAAAAATTAAACAATTTTACCGTATTATTATAATATTAAAATAAATTACTATAGTAGCAATATATATATATATCATAAAATATACTTATTAATATATATTTTTTGTAAGTTATTACATTTTAGGGCAGTAAACATTATTCAATTTAGGGGTTAATTTTATTTTAAATTGATTCTTTAGGGAGTTAAATGTAAAAAATTCCTTGATTTTTTTCTTAGTTATCGTTGAATAAAAAATAAAAATTTAAAAATAACAGAGATTTCTACGCTAAATCAGTTTTCGACAAATTAATTTCCTTATTTTGCTATAACTAAAAAAAATTACCATAAAAACATGAAATGTTCATTAAAATATTAATATAAATATTTTTCATGCATGATATAAATTTAAAAATATAATGACTCTTTTTAAGCTTTTTGTAAAGCGTAGATAATTAAAATTTTTAGTTTATTTTGTTCATCGATAAAATTATATGCTAAATTAAAGTTTTTAATAATGTATTTCAAGATTCTTTATAAGTTGCTATTAATAGAAATTCACAGACGATTATTATATGTATTTAAAGTTAAAATTTCAACAAATTTTGTGAAAATCTCGAAAATTGCAAAAATTATTTTGTTGATAAAAATTTGTAACATCTTCAATTTTTATAGTTATGTTTGAAAATCGAATTCAATATTATCCTATTTTGAAACTGAAAAATATAAAATATCATATATTACCTATATTTGTTTAAATATATACACATTTATTTTTTATAGATATTTAAAGTTCAAATTTAAATAATGAATACCACATTATAATAAGTTCATTATTTTGATGTAATTTAAAAACATTATTTGTGAAACTTAAAACTTTTAGTTTTATTACGAATTTATATTTATTTAAAAAATATTTAGATTAATTTTAAGATATTTTAATTTATACTATGAACTTATTCACACTGCTTTACGTATGGTCGTATATTTACACAAAATTTAATAACGATAATATAATATGGTATAAATATTTATCACTATAATAGATAATAGTTAAGTATTAATAATAATAAATAAAATTAATATCGTGTTTTTTACAATAATTAAATCAACACACAGAAATAAACTAATAGTATAATAAACTACTTAAGTAAAAATATCAAAAAACTTATCTTGAAATGTACTTAGTATAAAGGCTAACTGATCATTTTCGCTCAAGATAGTTTTTCGTGTACAATGAATAATGATGATAAATCATTGAATTAAAATTTAATACATTCATCCAATTGACACTCGATAGTTTAATGAGTAAGTTTTCTTTGATTCTTATAGATGGTAAAATATCAAAAGTAAATCATAGTTTTAGTTTAAGTGTTTTAAAAAAAAATTTCCCATTTATTTCAACTGTTTAATTCTACATATATTTCTATGAAAGGTATTATTAAAGATATTTAAACAATTTAATATTTAATTCCATTAGAATTAATATGTTTTAATAAAATATTCATCAATACAAATGGAACATATACTATACGTCCATCATAATTTGCTAGTAGTAAATCGTAATACTGAAGATTATATGTACTTTTTTAATTTTAATAAGAAAAAAATCATAAAATCAACTACCAGTCACATTTCAATTTTAGCATTTTTATATACTCAAATTAAAAATTTGCCATTACTCAGTCTTTATTGACTGGGATACTGTATTTTATCAATTCATTTTAACAGACTTAGGATTGTCCGGAAGTGTATATTGTACACAATTAATAAAAGTAATTAGGAGTTTAACTAAATATCCTATCACCGAAAACGTTTCCAGATTCACAAAGATATTTTAACTTTTAACAGGTACATGCAAACAAAATAATTTTTTTTCTCAATTGACGAAACAAAATAAATAGCTGTTCATTATTAATTATAATATTGACTTAAGTTTTAAACAGTTGGTTAAACGTTTTATTAGAAGTTTTAGGAATTTTGTCAAAATATTTTTTGTTTTTAATTTTTATAACCTATATGCACTTTTTCTCAACAATTTAATGTCATCATGGATAATTATTTCCTTAAAAACGAAATTAGTATGAATTTTCTTACGTATTATCTTATTTGGTCTTGTATATACATTTACTTCCGCTTTCCTTTTGACGGGAGTTCTAACACACTAAATAACTAAATTATGATCTATAAATGGTTCGTGAATCATGATTATGTTTATTATTATTTGGTAATAAAGATAATATTTCATCCATGGTAGGAAAATTCACTAAAACTCTCAGTACATTTTCTGTTGGTACACCGAAAACGAAAAGATCCGTTTTTGAGTGGTTAGATTTACTAAAAATATAGTTTTCAATTGAAATGTATTGTTTATATAGTTTTTTATTAAAAATGTTTTCAAATTTAAAAGCCATACTTGATATATGCTTCCACTTAATTACGAATTCACGTTTCCAATGTTTAAACAATTGGATATTTGAAAATATGAGATAGTTTTACTAATTGCCCAACCTTCATTATAAGATTGTGCCATATTTAGGTTGACGTCAAATTTCCTATACATAGATTTTATACTATATTTTTATATTAATATTTAAAATGTTGTCTTTTATAAGAAAATTAATTTACAATTGAGAGGTTTTCGGTCATTTAATTTTTTTTATTGATTATTTATAAAAAAAAAAAAAAAAAAAAATGAACAATGTCTTTTATGTATTGTGAATACTGTAGGTACTAGGTAGGTATAGGAGGGATACAGAATGCCACTAAATACAAATATTTTCTTTGTAAAATAGTAATAAAATGTAATCATATTATATATTAAAAACTTTGATTGAATATAACGTTGCATTTATGCGCGGCATCGGCCGTTTTGTGTTTTATTAAAAATCGATTCGGACGAAATTATAGTATTATTATTGTGTTCGTTTCAGGGGCGGCGGCGGAAGTTCGCAAAAGTCGTCATCAATGGCGTCGTCGAAGAAAATCCGGCGGCGGGTGGCTACGCTGGCGCAACGGCGCGCGGCTAACATACGCGAGCGCAGGCGCATGTACAACCTGAACGAGGCGTTCGACAAGCTCCGGCGCAAAGTGCCCACGTTCGCGTACGAAAAGCGGCTTTCCCGGATCGAAACGCTCAGGTTGGCCATCACATACATCGGGTTCATGACCGAGCTGCTGCAGTCGACCCCGTCGCCAGGTGGAGGCGGCGACACTGTCCAGTCGCCCGCGTCCGCGGCGTACGCTCTGCCGCCCCAACACCACGACATTCCCTACGCGCCGTACTCGTTGATTCCGCCCGTCTAGATGAGGGATAGGTGTAAGGATATTCCGTGAGCCACTCCTTTGCACGGACGCGCAATGCTCGGAAGCTGCATAACATTCAGTGCAATATGTACCTACACATTATATTCTAATGATATGATTTTTATGCATTTCGACCGCCCGTGAGAAATCTACGATTATTCGCATTATATATTATCTGCGGCGAGTGTGAAATCGATCTGACCTATCGCCGATGTATTATTACAATTATAATTTAACGTTATTGCTCGGCAAACTATCAACCTTTTCCTCTAGTTATACGATATTACGGGAATGGCAAAATAAATATTAAAAATATTTTTTATTATATAATACCTATACTTTTTTCAATATACCTACTTGGAAAAAATACCATAGTAATTTTGATATTAAAATCAATATTTCAAAAAAAGTCACCCGTATTACCCCCTATAATCGTGTGTGTATATATATATATATATATAGGTTTAGATTATATTATAAATTACTATAATATAATTATTCAAAATATTCGTGATTATGCGGATACACTGTATACATTTATAAGTTATTGTAAAATATGATTTGTGTTATTTTCGTTATTAAAATTATAAAGGTTATAACGTATGAAAAAATTAAAGCGTTTAAAGTTATTCTGACAATTTTAGATTCAGAGCGAAGCGATGTGCATTAATTTTTTAATGATGCATATTTTTTATTGTCTGTCAAAACCTTAGGAGTATAGTAAAATTTATTCAATCTTGGATCCATAACTTTGTGGGTAAAAGAAAGAAAAGAAGAAGAGTGAAAAATTTTCAGACACCAATATTTTTAAAAATAATTGGGAAAATTTTTTATAAAAATGATGGAAATCGGAAATATATTTCAAGTAATATCACTTCAAACTTAATAAGTTACAAGAATATAATTTTTTTACAAAATTTATTTAGTAATTTTGTTGTTTTTCAAAAATTAATAATCGGATATTACTATATTAGACATTTTCGATGTATGAAAATAAGATTATCTTATTTAAAAGCTTAGCAGTTTAATTAAATGTTATTCATCAGTTTGTTTTTACAGCATTAAAAAAATATGAAACACATGATACACGAGAAGACACTCTTTTTTATAAAAAATTTAAATTTAAATTTTGACAAAAAAAATTTAAAATCTTATTTATCAGTAATCTGTTAAATAGTACGAGATTTATTCGAAACCCTTATACTTTACAACAAAACGACTTATTACAATATTACCCGATTTTAAGTATAGCCAATGCTCATTACCTATTAATTGTATTTTTGTCGAGTTTTGAATTTCGATATACGTATAGTTGTTTTTACATGGTACATAAATGCTGAAGTCTAAAATGAGATTATAAATCTCATATGTAGCATCATTGATTATATTCTTTAATAAGTCTATTCTATAATCAATGGTAGCATTAAACGTGTCGAAAAATTGCAAAGTCTCTAATTGCAACTTAATCAAAGTTGATCGATGGATGATGAATGTTATATGTGTTATATTATACTATAATATTTTATGTTAGGTATAGTAGTTGTAGTTACTAGGTACTATTTATCTGAGTGATTCAGTCATATAAGTAAAATGACCTAAATATTTGACATTTAAAGTATTCAATTTGGTTATGTTTTGATTTAATTTAGGAGGTTTACTATATTATTCATTATTATATAATTTTAGTATGTAAATAAAACATCAAGAACTCCGGATTTAAAATTTACATAATTTTAAAAGGGTCAAAGGAATGTTTGAAAATCAATTTAAAATTTAATATATTTTTATCGTGGTAATTAAATCTATATAGTGGATTACCGATTAGTGATAAAAAAAATAAACATAAAGTTATTTTAATTTCTCAATTAAAAGTGATTTCAATTCGGGATGAAACATTTTGTAATTTTACATAGCTGATAAGATAAAATTACCTATGCACATTTTTTTTATATATTTTCTACAACCAATAAAATAAGTTGAACGCTGTTATTGTTAATAAGTTGTTATTGTTGTTACTTGTTTGTATTAAATTTTATATTGTGTTAAACATACATATGTACAAAATTTCACCATGTATATAATTTTAAATGTGATATTAGAGAACACTTTCACAATAGTTTAGAGGTAGTATAAAATAATTGAAAATAAATACGTCGACCTAACAATATTATCAGTGAATAGGAAAAAAATTAGAAGGGAGATAAAAAATATTAAAAAACCTATGTGCCTGAATATTTAAATATCTTATATCAAGTAAATTATAATTAAAAAGGTTATACAAGGGACTTATGCACCCCAAAAATAAAACATTTTTTTTTTATTAAAATGTTACTTTTATTTTGTATTAAATATTATCAATACCTAATTAAAATATTTAATGCTATACTGTATATTGAGAAAAATAAGTACTTATTATGTTCTTAGTTGTCTATGAGTTCTAAAATTTTTGAATCCCTGCAAAAATATTGGTCTAGTTACGCCTATGACTCCGTTCCCTTCAATTCAAGCACTAAATGTTAAATTATACAGGTAATAATACAACCCCATATTTTGCTAATTTTATATATTATACAATTATATTTTATTCAATTTTTTGCATAACTATGGTTTGTGAAATACGGATTACAGATTTATTGTATTTATACAATTTCTCTAATGTTTTTAGAAAGTATTAAGCAGAGATTTTTTATTGACGTAGGTATCATGTTGTTATTATTGTGCCCACGCGTGTAATTTACCTATTTAATTCTACACTTTACTTAATTTTATATAGTAGGTTAACAACTAGCTATAAAATTATAATGTTTAACAAAAAGATTGTTTGAAAATCGTAGGTATTGTTTTTTTTTTAATTTAACTTAAAAACATCATTCGTTTTTTCTTAAAATTTAAGAAAACTCATTTGGTATTATTTATATAGATGATATTTATCCAGCTATCCAGGGGACTTGAAATGTGCTGTATGTCTGTATAGGTAACTTCAGTAACCTTTTACTTAGTTTACATGATCTAGTTATCTTTAACACATGTTTCCCATTATTTTAACTTGTAATTAATTAAAGGTGGCGCGTCAGGGAAAGAGACGGTGCGCGGCATTTCTTTAATAATTATAATACGGAAAAATAAAAATTTGTTTAAATTTTTTGAAAAATTATTTTCAACTATATTTTTTGTATTCGTTTAAATAATACTGTAAAGACATTTTAATCCTTTCAGATTTGTTTTCTATTCACTTAAGTTATTTAGTGGCTGCTATATTAAGTGACTATAACCGTATATAGACTATAGAGGACTGTCTATACGCACATCGTTACCAATTATAAATAAAATATTCATATACCTAATATTCAATGAGCTCACGTTCACTTCTATGGACACAACGACACAACGTGCATTGCTTTGTAATAAAAAACTACTGGTATTCCAAGATAATTAAGGTTACTAGCTACGCTTTGCAAAGCTAAAATACCTCTGCAAACCACTTCTATAGTGTTCGTTAGAACGCAACACGTGTCTAAACCAGCACGCAATCTGCACCCAGAGCATCCGTACTTCCCAGCCAACTCATCCCTGCATTTCGAGGGCCTGGAGAGTGGAGACTATGTAGTTTAAATTCTGTTGCATGGCTAGATGTTAATATGATGTTCATATATGTAAATTTGTGTGGTACATCGTAAATTTGTGGCGTTTTCGATTAAATATTTAAATTACCTATGGCATCAAAACATTGTATATTAGATAAATAATTTAACAAATATTTGCATTCATCAATGAATGTTGAAAAAATTAAAGTTAAAAAACAAAAATTCCACTCATATTTATCAATCGAATATAAAAACGGAAAAAATCACTCTTAAATTGCTTAGTACCTAGTTGGTATGATAAATTTACTTGGCTCAGTGCTTGAGATAAATACAACAGACTTTTTCCTTTCATCTGTGTATTTTTTGAGGTGAAAAAGAATGGAGTTTTAACGGGATAACTACTATAAAAATATTAATTTTCTTATAAGTTTAAATTAATTACCTTATGAAGTTGAACTCAAAAATTCAGAGTAAAGTTATATGCAAAATTTAAGTTTGCCTATAATTTTATTCATGCACCGCTACTATAATTAATTCTATCAAACGATGACAATAATATTTACTTAACATTTAATTTATTAACATCATACTATAGACCTTATACTGTGCCTCGTACTATACTACTATACAGTAGACTAGCCTTGTCTATAGAGTAGCTGTGGTAACTAGTAGTATCCGGTCAGACATACTGGAGTGATGTACAGTATAACATTAGTGTTTATACCTTATATATAATACAATGTTAGTGATATATTATATTGTGTAGTCACAAGTTAAACATGAAGAGCTTCCTCTATCTATGACTGTTCTATGTATGCAAAAGACTAGTCTATTAGTATAAGCCATAAGGTCTATGCATCATGTTAAATTTTGAACCTTTATATTACTTACAAGTAAAAGTGACCAATTACTCCTTTTCTTTACAATAATTAAATTCTTTAATAAATTTAGAATAAGTAATTTAGAACAAGTAGTTTTTATTTCACACAGCTTTGATGTCAATCTTATAGGTTGAGTAGATCTATATAACTGTGAATTATTCTAATTGAATTTGTAAAATTAAATGAATTGATATTTTTTTGTATTAAGTTTTACTAATTTAAAAAAATAGTAAGTAGATAATCAACATGTTTGTTGAAAAGTAAAGATGAATACAATAGTTAATAACTCCAATGATAATTTGAAAAAATTGGCTGATAATATTAATAATTTTAATAATTTAATAATATTATAATTATCGGCATATTTGTAAATAATCAAAATACATTTAGCATATTGTTCAATTACATTTTTATAAATTATAAAAAATACTGTATTACTGTATAATAAAAATAAAAATAAAAAACGCATCTAAAAATTCAAAACTGTATGTTTAAACAAATTGTTGGAAAAAAAGTTATTTAACACAAAATGTATAAAATATGATTAGACAACAGCAAAATCAGGTTAATTTGATAACAGAACATAAGCCACAGAAAAAAAAAATCTTTCTTTATTATTTTTGTAAATAAATTTATATTTTTACTTGTTACTAAATAAATATATAGGATATTAATTATTCTAAAGCTCCAGTTAACAGGACACCGTCTTCAGGTTTAGGCTTTCTCTTATATTCTGGTTTTGTTACCAGATACACTACTAATGCACAGTAGAAAACACACAGCAAGCCCAAAAAATTGCCAAACATTCCTTCTTTAGGAAAATGTTTGTATTCTTTATCCCTAAATAAAAACTTAATAATTAGTAATATATAATTTAAATTTTTATCACTTAAATACGTACAAAGTAAAAATTAATTTTTCACCAAATCCAAGGATTGAAGTAACAACTGCCAGTATAAAATTGAAAACTCCAAAGAAAATGTGATAGGGCATTACAGCTTCCCTATATTGGGCAGCTATTCCAGGATACATGAAGGATACAAATCCACTTACAAACTAAAATATCAATATAATGTACTTAAAAAATTGAATATAAATATTAACCAAATTTATAATACTTAAAATAAATAATATTTAACTAACCTGAGAGAGGAACATTAAAATAGTAACAATACCCAACCAGCTGTGTAAACTATAGAAATTTGGAATAGGAGGATTACTATAAATGTGTGAAGCATAAGAAGCCCAACCAGCCAGTAGTACAAAAACAATTACACAACCATGAATAATTGCATGATGATTTTTCAAATCTCGTTTATTATAATTTCGGAATGTTCGATAATGAAGAATAGCTAAAAATAATAAGATTTTCAATAAATAATTTAGTAAGAATTAATTACATACATATTGTTAAAGAGATCTGTATAATTTTTACTTGAGAATTTATAATAAACAAAAAAACAGTTAGCTTTTATCAATTTAATGTTAGAATTTTCATATGATGTTTACATTTATTGTGTAAAATGCTTACATCAATTGAAGGGAAAAAAACGACTTTTCTGAAAAATAATGTATTCTTATTTTTTAAACTTTTTACAATCATGAATGATAACATCATTAGTGTTTAAAAGCAGAATTTTTATGGAGATTTCCAAATCATAAATATTAAATTTTTATCAAGCCGTTGATTAGATATGTATTTAAAGTTTAGATAGGCAATATAATGAACCAACATTATATGAGGTATCTTTAAAACACTGATTATTTCACTCATCTATACTTTAAATATTTAAAACTATAGTTATTAATTATTTTAATGAGTTAACCACTTATTTTAAATTTGGTTTTTATAAATAAAAATATTTTGTTTCAATTAAATATGTATTTATCGTTCAAAGAAATAAAAATTAAAAAGTTAATGATAAAAAAATATGGCTCCATCAATTTTCATAAAGTTGTTTAATAATAATTTAGAATTACGTAAAAAAAATGTTTTAAAATTAATGAATGGATTTCGATAAAAATAACCATTCTGTAAAGTTAGATCCTGCAGATCTGGCATCAAAAATTAATACCAATTGATTCATTAATATTTACAAGAGCAAAGTCGCAATCAATAAATTTAGGCTCCACAATTAGAGCTGATAAGGAATATTAAATTGTATATAATACTCTTTAATAACAAATTAATAATACTGAAGCATGATGATAATATATATAAAAAGTTAATTTTTCTAATTTTAGTAATTAATTAAAACTTACAATTTGCAAATAAATAAATAAAACCAATTGTCATCAACAGGGGGTGCCAGTTGAATATGATTTTGGCATCAGAAAACCCAAATCCTCCTCGGAAATTGAGAATCCAATAAAATACAGAAAATACAAGTAGTAATCCAACAATCTAAAACAATAATTTCATAGTAAAAAGAAGTTTAATTATTAATAACTACTTTTAAAAATTACTGACCTGACATATTGTATATAATGACGAATACGCATGACTGATGTCTTTGGGTTGCGTGTTATGATTTGGTTCAGTCATATTGTTTAATGTTACTGCTTCCTCAATTCTATTGTTCTCTAACTCTGGTGTAACTGAAAAAATATTAATAGTGTAATACCTTATAATATATATAAGTATAAACATTAATCAATAAATTAAATTTAGATGGGTAAACTTTCATGTTAATAATTCAGATTGATAATCAGAGTCAAATATATTAAAAATAAGATAAATTGATTGAAAAGGCATACCTATAAAATACTTAAAATCGAAAAAAATAGACGCCCAATAGAAATATTTAAAGGAAATACCAAAAGACCCAAAACTACTCAGCAACAGGCAATTTAAGTCTGTTGCCAAGGAGACAACCATTAGCTATATGCTAATAAAGAACGCCAACAGCGCATGGCTCACATTATGATTTATGATAAGATATTATCGGTATATATACAGAGCGATTTACTCGATTGAAATCGGCCAACCTTTCTTAACGTTTTGATTGAGTTCGTTTTTGTTTTGAAATGATAACCATTTTCTTTATAATTTAAAATTAAATTTCTGCAATGTTTGACTCCGCTCGCTTTGTAAGAATCAGTGTGCTATTAAAATTAACATTTTAACTTTTAAGTTTTGAATTTAAGGGGTAATATTTTTAATTAATAATTATATCATTAATTAATTGAAAAGTGATAATTATTTAATAATTTTTTTATCAAGGCTTTTTTGATTTAAAATTACAGAAATTTTCAAAATTTTTACATATATAGAGAATTGACCGATTCGCATAAAACCCCGTTAAAAGTAACACTCTGTATATAACATAAATATCTTAATATATTATCAGGATCCTGATCAACCATCCAGGGAATAAGCAATATTCATTACTTCATTAGGATAATATTTTATTCGCACCAAAATAATATTTTTTTTTATAACTATTAGCGTTATGTGACAAGTAGTAAGTACACTAATACCTATACTTACTTTTTAATCGTTTCCGAGTCATTTTTATTTTTATGATTGTAATACTATTTTGTTAAATTTATTTTAAGAATCGTTATCAACCTCAAAAGTAAAAACGTACGTTGCAGATAATTTATTGTGATAAAAAATACTGAATGACAAAGCAAACTTTATCTATTTAAATTATTTACTTTTCGTACACATAATGAATATTTTATCATTTTCAATGTATTATGCATTTTAATCGGTGATAGTATTACTAATATTATATTACGTGATTACGTAGAAAGACTAGAAAGCTATTTATTTCATGCGCGTCTGTGATTGTAGATTTGTACATCTACAAGTATAATATATAATATAGGCACTTGGCTTATTTCTGAGTAGGTACTAGTTACTCTTTACTTGTTAATCGTAGTTTGTGAATTTAAGTTTTAAATAGTGATTAAAAATCGAAAAACATTTTGAATCATTTAAATAACAATTTATTATTTATCCGATAAATAAATAAGATAAGGAAGTTTAAACATTTGAAACCCGGCTAGGTGAATACCGTGTACGTGGCGATAGACGCGTAAACAATATTAGACAGATAATAACGGCTACTTGATGTCTTAAGCGATCGGTTTGTAAGCGATAACTTACTAACTAGTCAGTAGTCAATAATCGTATTTAAACCAATAATTATAAAAGTGTTGCCGGAAACGATATAATAGTATTATTTTACAATGATTAGACTTTATAACATGTCTTGCACATAATAATTAATAACTATAACATTTTGGTACGTAATATAATATATAGTATATTATTATATGTTTATATAGCAATAATAGTATGATCGCAAATTATTATTTATTGTAAAAATATAATACTCTTACCCATGTTGAATGTCCTTACAGGTACCTAAATGCTCACAACTATAAAATATAAATAAATACAATGTAATAAAGTAGAATCGATCAACTGTTGCATTTTATTCTTTTCACACCGTCAATCGTGATTTGTGAATTGTTGTCGGAATACAAATTCTTCTATGAAAATATTACTAATTACTATTCACAACTTATTTGTTAAGGCTAAAGTCAAATGATAAATATTAAATACTAAAATAAACTATATACACTGAATTATGTGTGATAATTGATAAATATTGTATTTAATATTTATTGAACATCGATCAGTTAGGTTAGATCAGGGGTAGCCAACCCTTGTAAATTATTATAGAGACAAGTTTTGAGCATTTTGAGAAACGCTTGTAACGGCTGAAACGCCTGTGTACACTATATAGCGATTATTCATTATTCAACGTATAGAAAAAAAATATTGATTATTTTTTATTTAAATTTGGTATTTGTTCGAAACAAACAGGTTCTTAGTACCAATTTTTTTTTTTTTATTACTCTACCTCATTTTTCTATTCCTTTATGTATCTATCTATTTATTATATTTAAACGGATTAAAAAGCTATATAACAATTATAAACCTAATATTAATACAGTCATTACTAATACTAGGAACTTCATGCTCTAAAAAAACCTTAAAGTATGTATGCATTTATTCGCTAAAAAATTATCAAATATGCTCTAAAAAAATGTAAGAATATTTTATTTTGTATAAAAAACCAAAAATTATAAACTTGTTTATTATTAAATAAGAGATTTTTTTAGGTACCTATTTTTAATTTAATTTTCACAAAAAAAAAAAAAAAAAAACTGTACTTAGTTTAGAATATTATTTTTACTAAATTAATGCAAAACGAAAATTCATGAAATAGGAGCAGATGAATTATTGACATCAACTAACCGTAGTCCGTATTAGGGCCTCGGCCTTCGAGGCGTATTCCTTATTTCCTTATCGACCAATTCTATGTTTTTCACAACACAAATAATTGGGAAAACACACAGACACACAGTAGATAGATTATTTAATAATTTATATTTAGTTATTTTAATTTATTATTTTTCAATTTCTAGAAAATTTATATTAAATATTATTCTTTATTTCAGATATTTTTTTGAAAAAATATGTGAAATATGAACTAAAAATAGAAATATAACAAAATATGTGTATAATTATAGAAGAAAAATAACTGAATTTGTAAAATAAAAATGATTGTTTTAAACTTCTAGTACCTACTATGAAAGACATATTTATATATATTAATACTTAGCTAGTTAGCTATGCTATGAATAATTATTTGAAAAATATGCTAACTTCTATAAGTCCCTATCCTTAGTAATGACAAATATGTAATGGGTATAAATCTAATCTTATAGTTTTATCAATAGATAATTTATTGAATAATGAATTATCACAATACCATACATCAATTAACTGTGCCGACGTCCTAATTCGTAAACTTCTTTTTATTATTGTTATTAATAATATAATAACAGTCTCGGTAATTTGGTCATTGGCTACAAGAATCTAGCTTAATTGTTACAATTGAAGAAATGTTTTACATTATTACAACTTATAGAGGCTAAATAGACAAATAAAACAAAAAAAGGACAACAAATATATAGATGTACAATTTTTTATTCAGTCCATGTAAAATAATAATCACTAAATTATATCAAAAAGTCAAATTTACTTCAAAAGACTTCACACAAGATTATGCCACCACATTTCAAGAATAAGTTGACTTTTCTAAGAAATTCAAACTTCATTTATAAGCATAGATGTGTCTTCTCCCTTTTTTTCCAAAAATTGTAAATTTCTTGATGTAGAATATAATCGAGACGTAATAAATAAAATATAAATTAAATTATTAAATTATTATTTATGTATATATAATAATATAATATGCATTTCATTGAATATAAAAATATTAAATTAATTGTCATTTTGGAGCGGGCCGTATATGGCCTAGTTGCCGACCACTATTTTAAACGAATTATAATAAATTAATATAAATTGTATACATGAATGGCATTAATAGTCAATATTATTTTTTTTTTTATTCACGTAGTAGGTAAATATAAAACACTAACTATTTTTGATAACACTAAAAACTTGATAGTCGTTACGTAAGAATTATTTTAAGGACTGCACGATAGTAGTTACTTTATACTGTATAGGTATTATTTATGGACTCATTTATTCCGCTTATCAGAATATTTATATCTTTTCACGTTTATTAAGTTCGAATTTATTTACTAAATTACTTTGAGAGCCGTTATTTAGAAATACCCGCTCATTTATTTGTATGTTTCTAATAGTGAAGTTTGCAAGACATTTTTTACTAGTGCCGTCATTAATAATATTAGATTATCAATCACCATTATTAATAATGACCAGGACTCGAAACTTAATGTACTCAAGATTATAAAAATATGTGTATACATAAGCATAATAAAATATCAAAATATACGCTTAAATATGTGTTTATTTTTAATTAAAAAAGACGTACTTATACAAATTAAATTTAAAAAAATATATTTTATACATACTAATATTAAAATAGACTCATACTGTTGAATGGGGTGTATTTAGATTGGTTCAACATTCAGCATTGATTTTTGCCTTATCAACATAATTGCAAACGAAATTATAAGATAAAATTAATTTTAAGTGAACAATGTGTATTGTACTTACACATTTGTTTTTTTAAATAATATTTTTATAACGAGTCAAAAAGAAAATTTACATTAATAATTTAATTTTTCTTATATTTATAGATGTATAAAATAAGTACGTAATTAAAATGAATAAATCTTTGCAATATGCATATTGTGAAGAAAAAAACTTAAAATATCCAAAAACATATAATAAACATTTTTTAAATTAAAATCCTTCTATCAAAAAACAAATATGAATCGAATACGATTTCTTCTATTTCCAGAACAAATATGCAAATTAATTAAGTCCCGAGCCTAATAATGACTAATGAATTTGGTGTTAAAGTTTTACCTACCATTTATGTTTTCTTCTACCAAACTGGCTTCTATATCTTGATTTAAAAGTGTATTGAGCAGTTTTTGGCACTTACCAAATTTTCTCGAAAAGCATTGTACTTGATAATCGGTTTTTTTTTTTAAACGAATTTTACCTAAGTTTATTTAATTAACCTTATTTATTTTAGACATTATATATAAAGTATCAGAAATATTGTGCATTTATTTTATCAGGTGAATTTGTCACACATACAAGTATAATATGACGTCTTACTTTAGCCAAAACATCTTTTTTTGATGTCCCAAATTTTGAGCTTTTTATTGATGTAAAATTGTATCCATTTTGTTTGCTTGTTATTATTTTGGTATTTTCTATCAACTCCTACATTTGACTAATTTTACCCAGAAATTCATCGCTCGTGTATCAAGTAATATTTTTTTCGACACTATTTCATTTCTCGTTGACGCATTGTACTTATATAGATATATCAATTTTTATATCGTGGCGTGCAATTACAAATATATTGGACCCAATTCCGGACCCATCTAAAGATTTTTAATGAGACACTTAGGCACAAACCCGAAAAACAGCTTTCGCCTAGAATACCTAGTAGAGTTCCTTGAATTTTGATATTGATAGTTGATAGACAAGGACACAAGGTATTCTATCTTCGCCATACTACTAGCACCATCTATGAACATTAAGTGT